AACTCGCTCGGAACAGTTTCAGGGAATACATCCTTAAATTCAACCAAATCTTTATAAAGAGAATTTGTCTTGAGCGATTCCCATGATTGGGACTCATATCGCTCAATTCGTGTCTTTTCATCTAGGACACTCTCGTCCATAGATGAACTACTGAGAACTCTCTCGTTCTCAGTAAACACTGTTGCTGACCTTATGTCGGTTACATACTCGTCTTCAGCGACGAGTATGCAGATCTGCTTGACTTTGCCACTACGCAGATCACGCAAGAATCTTTTATGCTCGAGCGTTGGCAACTGAGTGATCTCCGAAGTTAACTTCGGAGGCGCAATCAGATCAAGTGTATAAGCGCCTACACTTGATCCGTTATTGACTATGACATTCAATGTCTCTGTCATTTCCTGGGGACTTATTCCCTCAGGCTTCGAAGGACTTATTCCTTCGTCTTCCCGGGGACTTATTCCCGCGGGTTTCGGGGAACTTATTTCCGCCGTATTTGTAATCTTGGGACTTATTCCCTTTACTTCCTCTAGCTGGGGTTGCGCAACCACAGCGAGATCCTCTACGAAAGACTCTCCAGTCGATCTAGGATTATCGTTTCGCTTAACCTGAGCGATCGATTGTTTCTCTCCTAGATGTTCCCCGCTAGGGATACATCTTTGTCCCAGTCCACCCGACTTATTCGAGTGGTGGACCTTCGGCGCAGCCTGTGTTTCCTCACAGCCGCCGGAACTTTGCTCCGAAGTGTAACCGTTTGGTACACTAAGGTTTTGTGCAGTCGTACTAACGACCGTACCACAAGTGAGGCCATCGCACTCACTCGAAGTACATCCACACGCTTGTGGACGCTCCAAAACGTTCATCAGATGGCCATCTGATGAACAAGCGGCAGGCATCGTTACTGTCCGATGTTGCCAGTTTACCCGTGGTTCGTACCTTCTGAGCCACGGTATTCCAAGGATGACATCAAATTTGTCATCCAAATCCAATACGATAAAGTCATCGTCATATTGGGTATCTTCTAGCGTATAGTGGATCTTCACTATGCGCTTTATGACGGGTACGGATGCGCCTGTCGCAAGACGTACCGTCATCCTCGTAGGAGGTGTGTCACATTCACTGAATTTAAAGTGACCATCTTCTAGCGATTGGCGTCGCACAAAATTGTTGGACGCCCCACAATCGACTAGAGCTCGAAGGGACAACTTATTCGTCACTTCGAGTTTCAAGGTAATGAGTGAGACCTCATTACCTAGAGCAGCAACGCACAACGTTTGTGTGTTGGGAGCAACTTTCATCAAGAGGCCTACAAATTCTCTTGACGTTGCTGGATCAGTAGGGTGCTCCGCACCTACTGATCCTGTCCGTTTTTTGACGGTCCATCCCGTTGTTGCGTCTTTGCACCAATAGCGGACCCGCGTCCCTGCCCCTTTCTCATGGGTGGACGGTCACTACGCCCAGTGTCGCGAGACACTGGACGAGGGGCACTACACTCGTAAGCGTAGTGTCCTGTCTTTTGACATCTGTTGCATCTCTGCAACCTCTTGTAGTCTGTTGAGCGAGCCTTCTCGCTCTCTACATAACAGAGTTCCATCGGCTCTGGACCTCCGCTGTCATATCGTCTCTGTGTACGATATGATGTCGAGCTGGCGCGAGACTGTCTTAGACTGAAGTCTTCCTGTTCCGCAATGGATGTAGCTTGTTCTAGTGAATCCAGTTCAAGTCGGAGAAGGTGAGTGTTGACGGGACCATCCGCAAGACCCTGCATGAACACCGAGACCAACGTGTGTTCATCAACCGGATTGGAACTTATACAACTCGTAAGATGTCGTATATGTTGGGCGTAAGCGTGCACATCACGCTTACCCTGTTTGAGCTTCAAGAGTTCAGTTCGAGCCCTGAACTCAGCTCTAGGCGGTTCAAACGTCTGTCTGAGCCGCGCCTTGAAGACTTCCAACGACCCAAACGCATATGGGTCGTGCAAGTTGAGCCCCAAAGCCCAAGTCTTGGCACGTTCTGCCAGATTTGATTGGCCAAATGCAACTTGCATTTCCCCGTCGTCGATGCGTCGAGCCCTTATGGCGTCGTCTAATTCGACAAAACATCTCAAGAGGGAGTCCTCTTCGACTCACCTATACTTGGAGATGTCAATCTTCAAGGTCTCGGGTCGACGCGAGTGCATCGACCCACCAGCAGCAGCCTGCTGCTGTCTCAACAGTTCAAACTGTTGAGCACCTTGTTCTCTCAACAACTCTGATTGTTGAGAACCTTGTTGGTGAAGCAAGGCTACTTTCTCGCGTTCCGCGTCAAGTTCATTTTGAATGAACTTGGCGATAGTAGCATGTTGAGCATTTCTATTGAGAGCCTCTAGCATGACGCTAACAGCACGGATGCCCAAGGGTGAACCCATCCGTTCAATCGCATCCCATTCGACATCGCTCAAATGGAGTAGCGGTCACGCGTAGCGTGAAATCTTTGGTCATCTTCATCATCCAACATATTCATGTTAGATGTGAACGTGGTCCTTGGACGGACTACGAAGTGCTACCAGGTGTAACGGGGCACCCTGAAGCTTGTACTGATGACAGTACAAGCTACTTATTCCGATGACAGAATAAGGCGGTGCCGCGTGACTTCACGTACACTGGTACATGCAGAGGAAGACGGTAAGGAGAAGCGAGTACTTGGTTAAAGTAAAAAGTAGAACTGTATTTATAATAGTTAATGTCTGCAATAAATCACTATTTATCTTCATCTAACTATGTCTAAATACAAATGTGTAAATCAACTATCTGCTCACCACTCATTGCGTGCGTCTATCGTGGCGCGTCTTCGTTGGTTGATATAATGGCCTATATCAACCAATTAGGAACTACTCGTAAGTGCTACAGAATATTTGTCCTTATGACAATATTCTGAGAATATAACTCTTATAGTTATATTCTATTAACAATTTCTTATAAATTGTTATGTAACGATTCACCCCGTTACAACACTACCATCTTTGCAGCATGAACTGTTTTCGCGTTCCAGTATTTTAAAGCTCGTTTTAAGTTGTTTACATTACAAAAGAAAATCTACGGTTGTTAATTCGCTGTTTTAGTTTTTGTGTCCTCAGAACCCCTATATATGGCACTTTCCGCACTGAATGGGGCGTGTGCCGAAATTTTAGAGGTCTGGTTGAATCTAACTACTCTAAGTGATAACTTCACACCTTCCATGCAATACTCACGAAGATACATCAAGATAGGGCTGGCGGAGCCTACGAAGCTCGTCGAGCTCAGTGGCACGTTCGTGGCATAGAATAGTCTTCTTAGGGATTTTTTTAAGTTGGCTGTCGTCGGTGTAAACGGAACAAATATTTGAACTTTTACTGTTATAATCAGGAAAAAGAGGATCCATTCGTATGTCCAATCGCCTGCAAACGAGAGCATAGAAGCCCAGCGGGTCCAGGTAGGGAAACAAGCTTGACTGAAATGCGAGACTCGACAGTGGGTCCGTTGTAGGGTATTTGACCGGAAAAAGTAGAATGAGATACAGTCTGCGGGAGAGTCGACTGACAGAAAATTGATGTTGGAAATCTCAAAAAAGGCAGTTTAGCACTAGACGGTAAAATGCAAAGCAAACATATTTAGGTCCTTAGTCATAAGCTCAGTTGCTACACTAGCCTATCGGATTCTTCAACTACACGCTCCTAATCGTATAGTCGCGCATTACTAATCGTATAGTCGCGCACCAGTAATCGCCACATCGCGCATTACTAATCGTATAGTCGTACGTTTCTAATTCTAATTGCGGATTTCTAAACACCCAAACGTACCGAAAGTGAGAGACGTCACTGTATGGCAGAACACTGCTGGTAATCCCCGAACACCAGGTCCCGAAGGCTTAATCTTTTATTTGAATGCCCCCACTGGTATCGAACCAGTGACCTTTTGCATGGTACTGCCAAACCATACCGGCTGAGCAACAGAACACTTTTCTTAAACGTCGTGCCCACGCGTCTCTCTTACATTAGAAAAGACCTAGAACGGAGAATATTGGTCGGAAAACTAACGTGAATCTTAGTCGGCAAACCGATGTCAGCAGAATGTGGTCAGCAATTCTTTGTTGTCGAACCTTGATCATCGAACTTGGAAATGTATGGGTTTGTATAGCCAGCAGAGGGTGACGGAAGACCCGAAGTTAGTTTATTTAGGTAAATCGATTGGGTAGGGGTCAAACGAAGAGGAGACACACAAGCAACTTTACGATAGAGCAAAAGAAATGATCCAATTTAGTGCATGATATCCTAAGTTAACGCGCACACATTCAACTAAGTCATTCTATGGGCTGTATTTCGTCTGTTTTCGACCCTCAAGATACATTGTTAGTAGAGGTTTCGACTGATAGCGCCAAGAGATGAGAAAAGATCGGGTTTAATACCACTGGATATCATTGGAAGAGCCTCATGGATTTCGAGCTGATAATCATCAGTTAATATACCGTTTTGATCCTCGTCCACCAAGAGCCACTGTGTAACGAGGTGAACCGTTGCATAACAATTTATAAGAAATTGTTAATAGAATATAACTATAAGAGTTATATTCTCAGAATATTGTCATAAGGACAAATATTCTGCAGCACTTACGAGTAGTTCCTAATTGGTTGATATAGGCCATTATATCAACCGACGAAGACGCGCCACGACAGACGCACGCAATGAGTGGTGAGCAGATAGTTGATATACACATTTGTATTTAGACATAGTCAGATGAGGATAAACAGTGATTTATTGCAGACATTAACTATTATAAATACAGTTCTACTTTTTACTTTAACCAAGTACTCGCTTCTTCTTACCGTCTTCCTCTGCACGTACCAGTGTACGTGAAGTTACGAGGCACCGCCGTATTCTGTCATCAGAATAAGTAGCTTGTACTGTCATCAGTACAAGCTTCAGGGTGCCCCGTTACACCTGGTAGCACTTCGTAGTCCGTCCAAGGACCACGTTCACATCTAACATGAATATGTTGGATGATGAAGATGACCAAAGCTTTCACGCTACGCGTGACGGCTACTCCCATTTGAGCGATGTCGAATGGGATGCGGTTGAACGGATGGGTTCAACCATGGGCATCCATGCTGTTAGCGTCATGCTAGAGGCTCTCAATAGAGATGCCCAACATGCTACTATCGCCAAGTTCATTCAAAATGAACTTGACGCTGAACGCGAGAAAGTAGCCTTGCTTCACCAACAAGGTTCTCAACAAGCAGAGTTGTTGAGAGAACAAGGTGCTCAACAGTTTGAACTGTTGAGACAGCAGCAGGCTGCTGCTGGTGGGTCGATGCATTCGCGTCGACCCGAGACCTTGAAGATTGACATCTCCAAGTATAGGTGAGTCGAAGAGGACTCCCTCTTGAGATGTTTTGTCAGATTAGACGACGCCATAAGGGCTCGACGCATCGACGACGGGGAAATGCAAGTTGCATTTGCCCAGTCAAATCTGGCAGAACGTGCCAAGACTTGGGCTTTGGGGCTCAACTTGCACGACCCATATGCGTTTGGGTAGTTAGAAGTCTTCAAGGCGCGGCTCAGACAAACGTTTGAACCGCCTAGAGCTGATTTTAGAGCTCGAACTGAACTCTTGAAGCTCAAACAAGGTAAGCGTAATGTGCACGCTTACGCCCAACATATACGACATCTCACGAGTTGTATAAGTTCCAATCCGGTGGATGAACACACGTTGGTTTCGGTGTTCACGCAGGGTCTTGCGGATGGTCCCGTCAACACTCACCTATTCCGACTTGAACTAGATTCACTAGAACAAGCCATTTCCATTGCGGAACAGGAAGACTTCAGTCTGAGACAGGCTCGCGCCAGCTCGACATCATATCGTACACAGAGACGATATGACAGCGGAGGTCCAGAGCCGATGGAACTCTGTTATGTAGAGAGCGAGAAGGCCCGCTCAACAGACTACAAGAGGTTGCAGAAATGCAACATATGTCAAAAGATAGGACACTACGCTTACGAGTGTAGTGCCCCTCGTCCAGTGTCCCGCAACACTGGGCGTATTGACCGTCCACCCATGAGAAAGGGGCAGGGACGCGGGTCCGCTATTGGTGCAAAGACGCAACAACGGGATGGACCGTCAAAAAACGGACAGGATCAGTAGGTGCGGAGCACCCTACTGATCCAGCAACGTCAAGAGAATTTGTAGGCCTCTTGATGAAGGTTGCTCCTAACACACAAACGTTGTGCGTTGCTGCTCTAGGTAATGAGATCTCACTCATTACCTTGAAACTCGAAGTGACGAATAAGTTGTCCCTTCGAGCTCTAGTCGATTGTGGGGCGTCCAACAATTTTGTGCGACGCCAATCGCTAGAAGATGGTCACTTTAAATTCAGTGAATGTGACACACCTCCTACGAGGATGACGGTACGTCTTGCGACAGGCGCATCCGTACCCGTCATAAAGCGTATAGTGAAGATTCACTATACGCTAGAAGATACCCAATGTGATGATGACTTTGTCGTATTGGATTTGGATGACAAATTTGATGTCATCCTTGGAATACCGTGGCTCAGAAGGTACGAACTACGGATAAACTGGCAACATCGAACAGTAACGATGCCTGACGCTTGTTCATCAGAGGGCTATCTGGTGAACGTTTTGGAGCGTCCACAAGCGTGTGGATGTACTACGAGTGAGTGCGATGGCCTCACTTGTGGTACGGACGTTAGTTACACTTCGGAGCAAAGTTCCGGCGGCTGTGAGGAAACACAGGCTGCGCCGAAGGTCCACCACTCGAATAAGTCGAGTGGACCGGGACAAAGATGTATCCCTAGCGGGGAACATCTAGGAAGAGAAACAATCGATCGCTCAGGTTAAGCGAAACGATAATCCTAGATCGACTGGAGAGTCTTTCGTAGAGGATCTCGCTGTGGTTGCGCAACCCCAGCTAGAGGAAGTTAAGTTAATAAGTTCCAATATTACAAATATGGTGGGAATAAGTTTTCCGAAACCCGCGGGAATAAGTCCCCGGGAAGACGAAGGAATAAGTCCTTCGAGGACTGAGGGAATAATTCCCCAGGAAATGACAGAGACATTGAATTTCCTAGTCAATGACGGATCAAGTGTAGGTGCTTATACACTTGATCTGATTGTGCCTCCGAAGTTGACTTCGGAGATCACTCAGTTGCCAACGCTCGAGCATAAAAGTTTTTTGCGTGATCTGCGTAGTGGCAAAGTCAAGCAGATCTGCGTACTCGTCGCTGACGACGAGTGTGTAACCGACATAAGGTCAGCAACAGTGTTCACTGAGAACGAGAGAGTTCTCAGTAGTTCATCTATGGACGAGAGTGTCCTAGATGAAAAGACACGAATTGAGCGATATGACTCCCAATCGTGGGAATCGCTCAAGACAAATTCTCTTTATAAAGATTTGGTTGAATTTAAGGATGTATTCCCTGAAACTGTTCCGAGCGAGTTACCGAATGATAAAGGTACTTGACACGAGGTCGAGCTTAAACCAGGCTCGAATTACTGTGTCATGAAGCAGTGGCCACTGCCTCGTGAACAAGTACTTGCGATCGACAAGTTCTTTGCCGATCGTTTAGCTGCGGGCCATGTGAGGGAATCAACTTCCCCACATAGCTCTCCGACCTTCTGTGTGCGAAAAGCAACAGGAGGGTGGCGGATAGTGCACGCGTTCAACAAATTGAACGCTGCAACGGTACCGGCTCAGACGCCGATACCGAGGAAGGACGTAATCATTAATGGTATGTCAAAGAGTACCATCTTTTCGTCCATGGATTTGATGGATGGCTTCTATCAAATCCTTATGCGGGAACGGGATATACCCTATACTGAAGTGAGCACGCCTAGCGGCATGCTATGGGAATGGCTAGTAATGCCACAAGGGCTTAGTAATGCCCCTGCCACGTTCAACAGATGTGTATCACATCTGTTGAGACCAGTACGAGAATTCGCGCCGAGTTATTTCGATGACGTATTCATCCATAGTCGGGCTATGGATGGAAAGTCGGATGTTGAGGTTCACAGATACCACGTCCGACAGGTTCTTACAATCATGCGAAAGCATCAATTGTATGCTAATCTCAAGAAGTGTATATTTGCAGCAAGCGAAATACCACTTCTTGGGTGCATCGTTGGTAAGAACGGTGTACGTCCTGATCCCGAAAAGATCAAGGCGATCACCGACTGGCCTGTGCCAGTCGATGTCAAAGGTCTTCGAAAATTCCTTGGGCTAGCGGCGTACTTGCACAAGTACTCGCCCAACTAAGCCGAGATGACTGTACACCTCTCTCGTTTGTTGAAAAAGAACGAGAGGTGGTTATGGAACGCTGAATGTCAACGCTCCTTTGAGGGTATCAAGCAGAGCTTGATACAATCCCCAGTCCTAGCAATAGCCGATCAGGACAGGCCATTTCATGTGGTCTGTGATGCCAGCGATTTCGCAATCGGCTGTGCATTAATGCAGTACGATCTTGAAGGCGTTGAACGCGTCGTCTGCTATCAGTCGCGTCAGCTGCAACCAGCTGAGCGGAACTATCCAGTGCATGACAAGGAACTCCTTGCCATGAAGTATGCACTCGCGAAGTTCAGAGTCTATCTATTAGGAGATAGACCCTTCATTGTTTACACTGACCATGCGTCATTACGCACGGCAGTGAACAGCCCGCACCTTTCACAACGAATGGCGCGGTGGTTGTCATTCTTTGCGGAATACAACTTTACGGTCGAGTACAAACCAGGACGACTTAATGTCGTCGCTGATGCACTCTCACGTCGTCCCGACTTTGAAACAGTCGCGAAACCCAACAGTGAGACAGCCACTGTTGCGGTTATGACGTCCTCAGTTCCATCTACAACGTTGTATGATGATGTGAGGCGGGCGTACGCCCAAGATGGTGAGATTGTGAAGTTGTTGGCACTCTCTCACAACCATCTCGAGAATCGTTGAAACGATTATCGTCTGCGTATCGATCTGTATAAGATCGATACACTACTCGTAACGGTTTACTACATTATACAGCCGTTACTGGTGACACACCACGTGTTGTCATCCCAGATGTTACTGATCTGCGTTTGCGGATCATGTTCGAGTATCACGATGCTCCTTTAGGAGGACATCGTGGCCGGGAGAAGACATATCTCACGGTGAGTCGAGACTTTTACTGGCCCCGCCAGTATCAGTTTGTGCGAAAGTATGTTCGCGCATGCGAAGTCTGTCAACGAGTGAAGTCAAGTCCTTCACTGCGTGCACCTTTACAGCCTCTACCGGTTCCGGCTGAGTGCTGAGAATCCATCTCAATGGATTTTGTCTTCCGGAGACACACGCAAGAATACGGGTATTCTCGTATTTGTTGACAGATTCAGCAAAATGGTACACCTTGTGGCTGTACCAGAGACAATCACGGCAAGTGGCTGTGCTTGTGTCTTTATTGACACCATCTTCCGACTTCATGGGTTGCCCCGTGAACTCGTATCAGACAAAGATCCACGATTCACTGCTGATTTCTGGCGTCCCGTGTTCAAATCACTCGGAACGCGCTTGAAGATGTCTACGTCTGATCATCCAGAGTCAGATGGTCAGACGGAACGTGCCAATCGTGTCCTCGAAGAGATACTTCGAGGATACGTACAATCCTTTAAGAGTTGGAGTGAGTTCTTGCCAATGGTATAGTTTGCCATATACAACTCGGTGCATGCGTCCACGATGCATACACCGTTTTACGTGAATGGCTTGCGCCATCCGCGTGTACCCACCTTACTAGAGTGTAACTCTGGTTTAAGGGGGGGAGGGACTCGCGCGGGCAAAAACCGATTCGGTTCACGCTCATCACGCTCTGACGAAGAGGTCATTGCGTTTGATGCCGATATCGATAACATCTAAATCGAAGAAGATGATGCCAGTGAGAGCGCGGAAGCCCTCACTGAAAAAAAGATTGATGTTGCTGCAGTGCACTCACAGCGCAATGAAGCTAACGAGTCATCAGATGAGTTCATACTGGCTTGTGAAACGGTAGTCCGTTTTGTGCAAGACTCCATCGCCGAAGCGGTGGATAAGCAAAAGCAAAACGCTGACAAGAATGGAAGGGCAAACACTCTTTTATTTAATAAAGGTGACTTAGTCCTACTGTCTACGGTTAATCTACCAAAGCATGTAGTGACTAACGTGGGTAGTAGTAAACTTCTACCTAAGTACATCGGCCCATTTCGTGTATTGCATCGCCTAGGCAATGCATACACGATCGAGTTACCACGTAAGATGCGAACGCATCCCACGTTTTACGTTGGTCGGCTTAAGCCGTACCATCAGTACGTTGTTTCTTCCGATGAAGAACGCCCTTGCGCTCAAGCATCTCACAGAGAGCCTTGTGCTCCCGATGGTGGGCATCAACAAGGGTCTGAAGAGCAGCTATCTCATCCCGAGACCGGTCAGCAATCCCACGAGCTACCCTTAGCTCGTCACGCAGAGATGTCAAAGCTCTCTCGTTATCAAGCTGAGCTAAAGCAAACTCAGCTCGATGCTTCAAAACAGTGTCCGCCAGTAGGAGACGCCTGTACCGCTCATGCTCGAGGTCGCCGCGTAACCCTTGCGTTACGCGATCAAAGAAGCTCTCGGGAACACACCGATCCACATGATCGTGTGGAGAGCGTCTTTCCTCCTCCTCCACCTCCATTAGAGGACTCTCGCGGTGGCCAGCGCTATCTGATTGAGCGGCAGTTGAACCACCGCGATGTGAACGGACGTCGGACGAGTTACCTTGTCCGGTGGCACGGCTATCCCCCGTCCTGGGATTCTTGGGAGCCCCGCTCCCAACTGATGATTGACGTACTGGGTCTGGTTGAGCAGTACGACGCGGCACATCCTGTGCCGCAGAAGGACCGCCGGAGAAAGTCTTCCCGGCACGGTCGTAAAGGGATTTCAGGTTGTCAATCCCTTCTTACATCTCAGTAGAGGTACGTACGCGCCACCACGGGCTATTAGGGAGGTAAGCCTCTTTAGGTGCGCGCGCACAGTTGTTTACTCAAAAAGGGCACGGGTCTCCCCAGGAGAAACAGGGTAACCCACTCTCCCTAGACAGACGATGCAGATTGTAGCGTGCACCTGTCGGGGTTCTTTTATCAAATTTATCGCAAGCTTTGCTAAGTTTGTCGTTCCAAACGTCACGACTTACATCCTCAAGGTTATGGATGAAAGCGTTCCACGCTTGAAGCAGTGAGGGACCATCACGTTTGTGATTCCCACTGTACCATCGATGCTTAAAGAAAGCATCGATGAGAAACTCATGTTCAGTGTGATAGTCTTTCGCACCGGGGTCAAGGTGATGGATCCTTTATTAATAGAACTATCGTGTTCGATAGCAATCACTTGTCGTCGCCGACAAGTGATCCATGACTGACTTTGGAGGCAGTCATGCCTTCTTTTCGGGAGCGAGACGCAACACATTGCGGTCCCGCTCTTCCTGCGACGTGCCGACAGAAGTACTGGCACCTCTCTGTGAAGTGGTGTCCATAGGAGAACCGACACCACTGTGAGCGCCCGAGTCTTGCGATCTCGAGCCCCTTCGCTTTGGCGATGGTACATCTGATTCGCCAGATAAATCAAAGATGCTACGACTCGTAGCATCATCCATGCCACGCTTGGCAGGCGGCTTAGTTTCAACCGCCTTCGATACGGATCCCTCTTCCGTATCAGGAGAGTATGAGACACCGAGCTCATACTCTGTGAAGACATGAGTGTCTTCATGACGAGCGCCTGCATCACCAGGTGATACAGGCTGAGACGCTTTAGCAACCGATGACACATCGGTTGCAGCGGTTTCCGCTTCGGTGTCTGCACAGAGACGTGCAGACGCGCTCTCAGCGGCCTTGTTCGCACACCGCATGGACTTGTTAACCATGCGATAAAACTGATGGACTGTGGACTCGGACCAACAAGTGCAAACCCTGTCCCAAATGATTTGGGACGAGTATCCATTTAGTCAATCAGTCACTAAAGTGACTGATGGTTAAGGGGGTGGGGGTGATGTAACGGGGTGAACCGTTGCATAACAGTTTATAATAAATTGATAATAGAATATAACTATAAGAGTTATATTCTCAGAATATTGTCATAAGGACAAATATTCTGCAGCACTTACGAGTAGTTCCTAATTGGTTGATATAGGCCATTATATCAACCAACGAAGACGCGCCACGATAGACGCACGCAATGAGTGGTGAGCAGATAGTTGATATACACATTTGTATTTAGACATAGTTAGATGAGGATAAACAGTGGTTTATTAACAGACAATAACTATTATAAACACAGTTCTACTTTTTACTTTAACCAAGTACTCGCTTCTCCTTACCGTCTTCCTCTGCATGTACCAGTGTACGTGAAGTCACGCGGCACCGCCTTATTCTGTCATCGGAATAAGTAGCTTGTACTGTCATCAGTACAAGCTTCAGGGTGCCCCGTTACACACTGAGTCTCAGGAAAATGCACTATTGTATAGTAAGTGTTCGTGACAGGCTGGTGGGTCTCAGTCGTGGATGTTAAAAGGGCGCGACCGGTTGTGGAGCGCGACTGGTGAGGTGAGAGGGTGCGATTGGTGAGGTGAGAGGGTGCGAATGGTGAGGTGAGAGGGTGCGAATGGTGAGGTGAAAGGGTGCGAATGGTGATGTTGAAGAAGATCGACCCTAGAAGTGGAAGGAGCATCTCACGATTAATACATGAGTGATTGATGGTAACGGGCAATCAGGATAACTGAAGATCATCTAATCAATACACATTTAATGACTCTTTTTCTTCCTATCTGCGAAGCAAAAAAATGGCAGTAATATTGATCCTTGCAGTCGGGCGTACACTGCGTATGTAGACTTTTAAATCTGCATATAGTGTCGACGTCCACCCTTTGGTGTACGTTTTGAAGCTGCTGAGCTCAGGATGTCTTTCAAAGTAAGTAATTGAAAGATATCATTCAGGCGAAATCTTCCAAAAAAATTAAAGGGACCTCCGCGAAGGAAATTTGTACTTTGTACTCACTTGCTAGCCTAGTTTGATGACTTCGCTCGGCAATATTTGTTCTTCTTTAAAACTTCTTTTTTAGGGCGAATGGACTAATTTCTTTACCACACAGACTGTAGCCTCGACCATGTTGGCACGAGCTCTAGACGATGCAAACGTAGAGCTAGAAGAAACCGTTCTGCGCCAGTTTTGATAAAAGTTGCGTCCAACACAATCCCATCGAGACTCATTGAAACAAGAATTGCGAAAATATTAGCAGTAAGCCAGCATCGAAGTGCAAACGATCGATCAGGTACGTGAAAGTAGCAATCTGAGGCTTTGCTATATTCAAAATGAAAAGATCTGATCAAACGCACGAGCTATGGATCTACGGATGATGGATAGAAATTCAGAGTTGATGGTCAAGAAGAAAGAACCGAGAGCTCGTAGACGTAGATAAGGCGATGGGTAACAAGGATTGGCATTCATTGTTGAGTAAATGGAATATCAAATTAGTTCTTTAGGACAGGAGAAATGCTAACGTGGAGTCGTAGCAAACGCTTTTCAGGAACAAGTAAAAATTGAAATGGTCGTGCAAGCTACGTACAATTAAGCACTTATCCATGGAAGTTCGTATAGTGAGAAAAACGACGTTATAAATAATTTAAATGCGAATTTATTCTGCATTCTTAGTCCATAGTTAATCTAGCGTACCCTCAAAAAGACTCGTACCTGGTTATACGCAAATTCGATGGCTATATAACTTACCAGGGCTTTGAGTCCATATTCGCGTGTGAGTAGAGCTATTTGTGGAAGATATGGAGGTGTGGGATAATTGTTTCATACATCACTGGACCAAGCATTTTAAGTTTTTTCAAAATAGATTAGCATCTGCAACTTAAAGCTAAATGGTTTAAAGGATTCCATTAAACAAGCAGCTCGCCTTTAAAAAGATAACTAGAAAATACGGGACAGCCTACACGCGTGAATACGTCCACAAAAACCATATAATGGAAAAGGTATTCTGTTTGAATTGAAATAACTATATGACGAGATGATTTTCACAAACTCGTTTTTTTAATCGAATTAAAACAGTGGATGCGTGAAGAAAACCGGTATGAACGTGAAGAGTCGCAGTCCGTAAAAAGACTGTCGGAAAGTGCGGTAAAGTAGCTCTGAATGGCGAAAAGGTACCAAAAAATATAAACAACGATATAAAAGTAGATAAGAAGCTTGCAGCACGGTAGCCCCAGCAAGATTGGAAGACGTGGTCGCCGAAGAAGTGGCCAATTCACATCGCACTTATTTTACCCAATCATGTTGAGTGTAACTTTGCAAGCCGGCTACAGTGCGGCGCAAAGGCACATCTAAGGTCAAGCGTCATGAAGCAGTGGAAGAAGTATTTCTGAAGGCGTGACGCAAGAAAAACTCGGTGCCCGATGTAGAAAGTACATGACTAGACGGAAGCACCGAGCAAGAGCTCGGTACGTGCCATACCAATTAGGTTGGAAAAAATAAAACGCCTAAGAGAATAAACCACTGGACGTTACCCATTTGATCAGGGTGCAGCGTGGCAGGATCCAAGTGGGAGCAGAAGGCATCCGGAAAATTATAATTGGATCGGCTTAGGAATGCAGCAAGAATAATAACTCTAGAAAGAGCTTGATATGAATGTGAGGAGCAGTGACGAAAAATACCGGATTCGGGTACTCGGAGGTGGATTTTACAAAACAGTCAAGTGAAAGAGAGTGTCGACTGACCGACAGACATCGAACAAATTTCACAGATGTTTAATATCATTCAGATAACGTTCAATTATGATAGCGCGCGCGAAGAGAAGCATGAGCATGTTGGACATTGCATGCTGGTGTCAAATACAAATGCAATAGATGTACATCTATGCGTAATGGTTCCGTGCACCCTAGGTGTTGAAAGATGCGATAATCGATATCGGCATCAGCGGTTGCAGCTGAAAATGACTCCAGCCGGTATAGGCGTGTTCGCGTTGACGCATGTATCATCGGGTAAATTTGTTTACCAGTATCGCAGGTTTACGAGCAAGTTGTAGTTTCAGGTGCGAATCATACGGTTAAATTGCAAAGCGAGAATCCAGTGATCGACGAGAGTTCGTGATCGCCGAAAGTGCGTTTAAAAGACTCATGCGTGTCGTCCAGATGCGGTATTACAGGAGATCAGAGGGACGCGACGCGTTGTTGTGCTGCGTATGTCAAGAATACCATCTAGAAGGGTGAGGACTAAATCAAGCAAGCGCACATAAAAATTGTGGTTTTGCTGCCAGTGTACACTTCAGAAGAAATAGAATTGATAGGCAGTCCGGCAGTCGAGGATCAAGGTTGAAGAGAAAAAAGTTACTTGGTGATTGTCTAAGGAGGAATTTATAAAGGACTAGATCAGCTAAAGTTACAATCAACTGTAGAATAATTTTATACTCATTTAACAATCAATTATACAATTCTAAAATTAGAAGGCTTGATAAAGGTGCTGTGATGAAATGCCAAAGACAGGAAAACCCATTAAAACGCGAAAATTGGACACACTAAAAAATCTTACCGATACTATGAAACAAACAATACACACCAAGAATGCGTTAGTTTATTCATTAGTAATCCAAAAGATGAATTGGTGTGAAACTCACACATGGTGCATCCCGTAAGTTGCAAGTGCTCCCTTTCGGCCACATATTGTAGCCAAAGTAATCTTGAACGAATCGGGGCAAGATCGACTGATTCTACCTTCAAGGAGTGATAGCAGTAAATACAACGCTCTAACGCCACAGCTATGATACATAGAAAGCCATTTTTAGTGTTCCACCCGCTTTGAAAATCAATTAAACTGCCGCACGATATTACAGTAAAAAGTATAAATTAATCAATTGCGATATGAGGGGGAAACAGCCACGCCTCATTTTAATCCTAGGGTCAGTATCCTACCCTTAAGCTAGTCTGGGTGGCAAAGAAGAGGAGGAATGCATGCATGCATGAGGTAACAATTGAAGCCTCCATTCGATCTCATTTTTTTCGCTTTCAACTGTAGTATGGTACGGAGTTGGATGTGCTCCAGAGCTAAATATATATTGCCCGAAAACTGGCTACTGAATGTGTCTTTCCACAATGTCTAAGGCTCTTAGACCCATACAAACCTTTCGCACTAGCGATGTAGAATGAAGTGCTCATTATATAAGTACCTTGATGGGCTTCAAAATATTATGGATGTCTATGTAAAGTTCGGATTTTTCAAAAGGAATGCTCAGATGAAACCGCTGGTGAAATTGTGCAACAGAAAGTAATCTTATTATTGCAGAGCACCTATGAACATAGTGCAAGCAAGCTGTATCGTGAAATTTGTCGACGGTATTTGATGCATCCAGCATTAACTTTTTCCACATTGAGCCGTTCGCGTTGTCGGATTGCTACAACTTAATTTATTTTTACTAAAAGCAGCGCGTGCTGTTAACTATATCGATGATGAGGGGTTCATAATCGCGTCAATCGCAACAAGGCTTTTGCATTCTCCTTTTCGTACTAATGGACGATTTCATTATGCCACATATGCACGGCTTTAATTATACTATCGTATGTATCAAACTCGTTGCTACCTGGATGTCAAAGTCTAAATTTTGGTACCGTCCTAATGGGGGCTGTCAAGACGAGAAGTGACTGAGTGACCGCAATACATGAACTAGTGGCTAAAAAGGACGCAAAACGCTTCTTAGAAGGTAGTTTGTTTTTCGCGAGGTAAATCATACTCCTTGCATTCATATAACTGTCGTCCATAAGGCTTTTAAAAAAAGGAAATTTTAATTGTGTTGATACGCTAACAATTGTTCTTCACCCTCGCAAAGAATCACCCTAATTATCGTTCAAATTAAATTCG